ATTATTATTATTATTATTATTATTATTATTATTATTATTATTATTATTATTATTATATTATTATTATTATTATTATTTTATTATTATTATTTTATTTTTATTATAAAATAAAAATAAATTAAAAAATAATTAAAAAAAAATAAAATTAAAAATAAGAAAAAAAAAAATTTAAAAAATTATATTAAAAACAAAAATAGAAATAATAATGATGCTGAAAATAATAATAATAAAAATAATTACCTCCTGGTAAATCTTGTTTATTGGCAAATACTAATAATAAACAATCTCGCATTTCACGATCTGAAATAATTCGATGTAATTCTTGACGAGCTTCATCTATTCGATCACGATCTTGGGAATCAACTACAAATACTAGTCCTTGAGTACCAGTATAATAATGACGCCAAAGTGGACGAATTTTATCTTGACCACCGACATCCTATTAATATTTAGATTATAGTAAGTAATTTGTAAATTAAATTAATATTATATTATAGTAAATTGTATCTTATTATATTACAGTATATTAAAGTATATTATAGTAAATTATAGTAAATTATAATATAATTAAAGTAAATTATAGTAAATGGCATTAATGATGATATAATTATTTACCCAAACATTAAATTTGACATTTTTATATGTCACGGTTTCCACGTTAAAACCGACAGTGGGTATAGTCGTCACAGATTGATTAAGTTTTAGTTTATAAAGGATTGCTATAAAAAAAAAAACAATTCCCAGAATTTGTTAATCAAACAATCAATTAAGAATATTATTTAATTAATCAAGGGAAAATATTTAATTAATCAAGGAGAATATTAATTAATCAAGGTAATTAACCAAAGAATATTAATTAATAACCAAAGAAATAATTAATTAATTAACCAAATAATTTAAAGATTCACTTACTGGTTTTTCCGGCAGCATCTAAACCCAACATTAGGATGCGCATTTCTTTATTACCAAATATCCGAGCTAAAGCTTTTGATACTGAACCACCCATTTTTATATTTTATATATATAAATATATAATTATTTACTTACTTTATTAATAATTTGATATTCCGTAAAGGAGAGAAATAATAAAAAATAATCAAATAATAATAATAATAATAAAGGAAAATTTAAAAGATAGTATATAGCTGGTATTGGATTGGTTAAATTTTCACTGTCGGCAGTAAAATGTTCGTTCGGATTAATAGATATTATGGTGTGGTTGTTTAACTGGAGATGATGAGTGATATATAGATTTAACAAACCTTAATATAACCTTAATATTTAACAAAAAAAAAAAAAAAAGAAATTTATATAAATTTTTACCAAAAAAAAAAAAATTAACTGTAAAGTAAAAGTCGAACACAAAATATATCTTAACGGCCACACGAGATTTTTGTTTTTTATTATTGGTGGCAAAATGATAATAATGAATTTCTCTGTTTTCTTAGTTAATCGGGTTAATCACGTGCATGAACTAAAAATGAACTAATGAATTGCATATTAAATTGTATTATTACCATACCATTAACAGTTAAAAATAAATTTTGATTAATTCATGTAATTAAAAGAAAGTAAATAAAAAAACATTTGCTAACTTATAATAAACATTGTTGTCTATTTATGTATTTTTGTTCACAATATTATTTTTACGTTATGTTGTTTGTGCTGTTATGTTTGGATCGATATTTCTCTCAACAACAATAAATAGAAAAATAAATAAAAATAAATAAAATAAATAATAATAATGACAAAATAAAATTTCCCTTAACTGATAATCTAATGGAATGGATAATGAAAGATAATAATTTAGCAAATTAAAAAAGAAACTTTTTTTTAGCTTTTTTTTTTTTAAAAAAAAAAAAAAATTCAACAAAATAAACAAAATAAACTTAAATAACTTCACGTGTATCTCATATAATACGTAACTCATTAAACTGAGTTAAATGTATATGTGTTCGTTATTCATGAAAATCCTTGAAGATTTTCAAACTAGATTTATTCTTCTTTTTTAAGTTTCTATTCTTCATTTAATAGTTTTAAACGATTTTATTATATTATAGAATGAATATTGAAGGAAATGATCAAAGTTTGGAAAGTTCATGTTGTCGCATGTTAGGTATAAATAATTTAAAAAATTTCCTTTGTTTGCTTTGATAATTTTCATCGTTTTCGTATTTCTTCATATTCCAAGATAATAAATAATACTATAATAATATTATTATTATTATTACTATTATTGAATAATAAAAAAAAAAATGGCATTCAAAAATTTCTTAGTTATTCTTTTATTTTTCGTATCAGTTTTAAATGCCGATTCACCAAAAAATATCATTGATACTATTAAGGACCAACCATCTTTGACAACATTATCTTATTTAATTTCTCAAGCTTCGGAAGAAGATATAGCAATTTTAACTAATAACAATAATTCCATTACTTTATTTGCTCCTAATAATGATGCTATTCAACTAGTTGAAATTCAATTTCTTAGTCAGCCTGATACATTGTTACAAACTGTTAATTATCATTTAGTTAATGGCTCATTTTCCGACACTTCTTTAGGCGAACTTAATTATTTACCAACATTTTTAAATAGTACTAAATGGGTACAATTGGGTGGAAAACCGCAATATTTGGTGGTTACAAGGGATAAAGATAATAATATTGATGTTAATTATGGAATGAAGAGTGTTAATGCCCCATCTAAAGTTATCGGTTCTGGGATTCAAACTTCTAATGGTTATATTTATATAATTGATACAGGTAATTATTTTTCATAAATTTCGTTCTCTCTTTCTTTCTTTCTTCCTTCTTTCTTGGAAAATGGAATAAATAAATAAATAAGAATTATAACCTGATTGATATTCATGAATTTAGTTTTACAAATACCAAAATCGCTTAATGAATCTCTCGTCGATTCCGGGAAATATCCAAATTTTCTAAAATATATATCAAAAATTGAATCAATAATTAATAACTCTACAAATGGTGTTACCATCTTTTTACCTGATGATAATTCATTTGCCGCTACCATTAAAGATTACGATGATTCTAAAATTACCGATACTCTTAATAATCTTATAATTACTTCACCAATTTATCTTGGTAATTTAACTGATGGTCAAAAAATTCAAACGTTGGGTAGTGAAGAAACTATTAGTATTAAGGATGGAGTTTATTATGTTGGCAATACCAAGATTACTATTTCTGATATATTAATATCAAATGGAGTTGTTCATGTTACTGAATATGTTGTAGGTGCTGATAATGTTGCTGGAAAGAATAATAATAGTTCTTCTAATGATGGTGATTCAATTATGACTAATCTAATGTTTTCTCTTATCTTGGTATCTTTTACTATTTTATTTACTTTATAAATTGATTTATTCAATATTAATTTAAAATAATTTAATTTTATTTATTATTTTTTTTTTTTTTAATTTATTAATTTTATATTTTGATTAATTATACTTTATAATATTCATAATTATTTATTATTATATATTATAATAATAATAAAAATATATATTTTTAATCAAACTTTATTTTATTTCATCATCTCGAACAAGCTGACATTATAAGTTTTAATTCATTAAAATTCATTAAAATTCATAAAAATTGGACGTTGATTAAAAAAAGTTACGTAAACTGTCGTAATGTCTAACTTTGTGACTTAAACTGACAATTATTAAATTATTTAAATTATTTAACTGTTAATCGTTTCTATTCATTTCTTATTATTATTTTTTTTTATATTGTAAGGAACCTTTTATTTCCTTATTGTATTATTATTGTTATCATTATCGTTATTATTTTAATTATTTTCATTTTTTTGAATCACTTTAAAATTTTCCACCACCACCAAATAAATTTACAAAATACCACAAAAGACTGCGCAAATGCTACAAAAAAAATTCTTCAAGTACTTCTAATTATTATCATTATCATCACATAAAATATACTTTATAAATTTGGAGAAAGAAAAATTATTTAAAGAAGGATAATAATGAAAAAAGTAAGTATAAAAAAAGTAATTAGATATACAGTATGTTTGATAGTCGGAATACAAATTTCACATGATAATAAGTAAATAATTTTGATCACCATAATAATCTTTGAAAATTGACCAACCAACCAAAATGTCACCTACAAGTAAAAATACACATGCCGAAACTAGAAACCATTTGTGAGATATTGGTATAAGAAATGTAAGAGAAATACAGCAGGGAACTAATATTCCAAGGTCTACAATTTATTATAACATTTCAAAACTCAAAAAAATTGGGGGATAAAAAAAATGCCGTGGACATCCAAAAAAATTACCCCGAAAAGTTCTAGGGAAATTTCTCGGTATGTTCCCTCAGTACCTTCGCGGAATTTAGTAAATAAGTTGTTTACTATTTAGGAATGCAATAAAACATTGGTACGTCCAGTTCCAAAAGACGGTTCAAAATTTTTTGCTTGGGTGGATCTTGTGCACAAGGCAAAACTAGCCTTTTTTGTTTTAGGGGGGATCCTTGATCGTCCTGAAGTAATTGATTGGCCATCCAATAGTTTCGACTTTTAATCCTATTAATAATCTGTGGAGTATACGTGGAGAAGCGGCAACCAAAAAATTTGACAGAATTAGAGTAATTTATGATGAAAGAATGGAATAATATTCCAAATACTGTTCTTATTAATTTAGTAGACTCCACGAAGGAACGATGTATTAAAAAAAAAGGGAAACTTATTCCATATTAATTTTTTATTAAATAAATCTATTGCTTTTAATGTCTCAATAATTTGTACGTAAATCAAATTATCCGTTGCTGCTAATAAATTTGTCTAAAGACTTTTGTAACACACTGTATTATTTGTCTCGGATCTTGGCATCTTTGAGATTTATGGAATTAATATTATTCAATAATGAAATTTGGAAATATGTGGTGCTACATTATTACTGGTAGTAAAGAATAAAAGAATTATATATATTTAATGTATGTATAATATTTGTTATATTTGCTAATCACGCTAATAATATTAATAACAATAACAATAATAAATAATAATAATGTTTAATATACTTGGAAGAAGGGTAGGAAAGCACAAGCATTTAGCATTTAGAATTTAGATATTTTGTATTTTACATATGTATAAAGATTTTTTTTTTTTTTGATAGTTAAAGTGAGGCCTTGTCTCTGATTTATTTATTTTAGATAAAAAATAGATAAAAAATAGATAAAAATATACAATAACCTATTTTATGTTTTTTTTTTTGATGTAAACCCAAACTCGCGACTTGTTTTTTAAACCAGTCGATTTTGAAGAAAAATACTTTATGATTTTAATACTATTAATGAAATGTTCTAATTTTAAAATTTTACGTTTTCAGATATAAAAATAATAGCCCACAAAATATAGGAAATCCAATAATAGTTAAACTACTGAAACCTGCAGCACCAATAGATTGTAAAATTGGGACGATACTCCATGAAGCGGTTCCAAGGAAAGACATCATTGTTGCTGCTGTAGAATCAGCAAGGATTCCTACTACTTGAAACCCGATACCTTTAATTATCATCACAAAAGCCCCTAATGAAAAGCAACCAACCGTTGCTCCGATAGTTGCAGTTACAATCTCATTCGTAAAACCTTGAATAAATTCCTTAATATGAAAGACAGTTCCATTAATAAGATTCATAAGAGGGATAAATGAAAAATTTGAAATAAATTCAATAAATTTAGATAGAATTCCTTTGTTAAGGTTCATAAGAGGGATAAATGGAAAATTTGAAATAAGTTCAATAAATTTATCTTTGGTAAGATTCATAAGAGGGATAAATGGAAAATTTGAGATAACTTCAATAGATTCAGATAGAATTTCTTTGGTTGTTTCTTTAATTGATATGGTAACTTTATTGGCCAAATTGGCGAGTTTTTTGAATTCGCTATCTGTCAGAAATGCAAAACATCCTGGCGAAAATAAAATGACAACAACTGTTAATAAACAAAAATTAGAGAATTTCATTTTTTTTTTGTTTTCAAAACTGGAATTGCACGTCAAGTTATAATTATGACCATATGGGACAATTTGGCTCCATTCGATTTTGTTACATAAATCAAAATGTTTTATTGGCCTGGATTAATTATTGTAACAATAAAAATAAATAAATAAAATAACCACGTTAGTAGTGTTGATCATAATCAATCATAATTTTGACGTTTCTTTGCGACGTCAAAAAACAGTTTCTAATTGGTTCCTAATTGGTTTTTTGAATCAGTTTGAATTGCAAGCTTAATTAAAAAATTACTTATTCTTTTTTTTTTATAAATTGTAAAGAAAATAAATATTATATATTTTTTAGGGTATTCATATGAAATAGAAGTTCTTTCTGGATTTATAGCATAAATATATTAAAAGGTTTGAAGGTTAAATATTTAAAACATAAGCATTTATTATTTAATAAATTTAAAGTGCATTGTATATTAACATTATCTTTATATATTATATTTAAAGTAAATACAAAATATAATATTATCTTTATATGTTATATTTAAAGTAAATACAATTATTTGAGGCTTATATAAAAGATTTATATCCATTTCTATACTATAATGTCATGTGAATACCGTTCTATAATAATTTATATTCTCAGATATCACATATGTGACATAAGAATTCAAAATATAGTTCGTCTTGAGGAAACTAACCAATCAAGTCTGCGTTAGTTAAAAATAAAATCACGTGAAATCCTTTTACGTTAATACTATACATGCGAAGTTCAAATACTTTCTAATTTTTCTTCTTTAACTATCTCTTCATTAATTAAGACAGCACCGTACAATAATTTTTCATATATTCGTTATTTTTATAAAAACTTGACTTTCGTTATATATTTGACTATACTTGCCAATATGCATACTACATTGACCTATTTTGATGCAACTCCAAACTCGCGACCTGCCATAAACCGGTTGTTTTTTTTGATATAGCGCGGAACATCTAAGATAGGAACTTAGTTATAGTAAAAAATCGATCAACTTTTTACATTAAAACTTTATTTTCCAAATATAGAATAAAAATTCTAACCATAGAAATTAATAGTTCAGAACCTAAGCTTTCAAAATTATCTGATTTAAATTGATCAAGTTTTACTGGAGTTGAAGTTACAGTATTTAATTAAATCTATCAAAATTGAGAATATATTAAAAATAGTAAACCATTGTAATTTTGATAATTTTGATTGAAAAAAGAATTTCTAATAAATTTTAGTTTTTATTAAATTTTGATTTTCAAATTCATAATCCGATTTAATCATGTGATTTCATATTTCGAAATTATAATTGGCTAAAATCGCATCATGGGATGCTTACATAAGCTATAAAATTGAGAAAATATTTTTTTTCCATCTAATGTATACATTCTAATTCCGTAATATAAATTAAATCTAATCGCTAGATTAAATCTTATTTAAGATTTTACAAGTTCCTATCTTAGAGGTTCCGACTGTACTATTAATAAAATGTTTTCATATATCATAATTTTCCACTATAAACTTATTTACGTTTTAATCGAATATATGTATATATATAATTATAACGCACAAAATATAGGAAATCTAATAAAGTTAACTCATTCAGACCTGCAGCACCAATAATTGGGACGATACTCTACGAAGTGGTTCCGAGAATAGACATCACTGTTGTTGCTAAATAATTAGGATTCCTGTTTTGAAATCCAATACATTGAATTTTCGTCACAAAAATCCAAAATGCAAAGAAACCAACCATAATTGAGATTACAAAAACTTTGAAATTCTCTTGATATGAGGGATAGTTTCATTCATAGGAGGGATAGATAGAATTTTCTTCGTGAAATGAGGTTGTTTTTCGTGATCATTATCATTATTAGATTGAATTTTTTCCTATTAATTTGATTGGCAAAATTGGTGAGTTTTTTTGAATTTGTTATCTATTAGAAATGCAAAACACTACCCTGGCAAAAATAAAAGGACAACAATTGTTAATAAACAAAATTAGAGAATTTCGGTTTTTTTTTAGCTAGATGGTGTTTTCATATGGGGCTGATTCGAAAAGTACAGATTTTATCCAATCACGATCATTGGTTTGATCTAATTATAAAAATAAGGTAATAAAAATCGTTTAATTCAAAATCTCTAAGTAAAAAGGTTCAGCACAAAATTTACATATATATGTTATTTTTTTTTATAATACTTTATGTAAATATACATACAACTTAAAATAGATAAAATACAACAATGACCTATTTTATGTAACCCAAAACTCGTGACTGCCTTAACTTATTTACGATTAATATAATACATAAAATTATAACGAATAATAATGCACAAAATATAGGAAATCCAATAAGAGTTAGAACACTGAGACCTGCAGCACCGATAGATTGTAAAATTGGGACGATGCTCCCTGCTGCGGTTCCGAGAATAGACATCATTGATGCTGCTAAAGAACCATTAAGGACTCCTATTTTAAACCCAATACAACGAATTATCGCCAAAAAAGTCCCTAGTGCAAAGATCCCAACTAATACTCCGATAATAACTGCGATTACAATATAGTTTATAGTTTTATGCTCATTTACAAAATCTTTGATGGATTCAGTGATGTTTGAAAAGAATTCCTTGGTACCAGAGATAACGTCGTTAATAGATGATAAATCTACACTGATAGATGGGATAGATGAGAAAGTTAAATTGACAGATGTAAAATTTGAAATAAATTCGTCATTATCAGATAGAATTTTTTCTTCGGGGGATGTTTTATGATCATCATTATTGTAAGATTGAATTTTTTTCTTTAACGGATATGAGCAATGAAAAACACCACCGTGGAGAGAGTAAAAGGACAATAACTGTTATTAATAAACAAAAACGAGAGAATTTCATTTTTTTTAGCTAGTTGAAGATACAAAACCAAACATATAGGGATGATTTGAAGATTGTTTTATGCTTTTTATCCAATCGGATCATTGTTTTGATCGGGGCTTGGGATTAAAGCTCCTAACCGTTCGGTTTGAACCGAATCCGAACGGTCATTAAAATCCAAAACCGGACGATTACCCGTTCAGTTCAGTTGAACTGAACGGAAGAACTGAAACTGAACCGAAACATTTTCGGTTCAATTATTTTTTTTCTTTTTTTTTTGCTAATTTTTTTTTGTTGCTTTTTTTTGCAGCACGTTTTTATATTTTTATCACCATTGTCGCCATAGTATCCTAAAATGAAAATCAATTAGTTAACGTAATACTTATTTGTTGCTATTTTTTTTGTTACTATAAAAAATAAATTAATATTAATAGATTTAAAATCTGATTATTGAAAATCTATATATATTATTGTGAGTATTATTATTATTATTAAAATATTTTTTTTTGATCATTTGACAAATTGTAATAAGGAATAATAAGGAAAACTATATTTTATTTTTATCTTTTCTCTCTTTCATATCTTAATGGAATTTGAAGAATATGAAGAATTTGAGATTGAACTAGAGGAGGATTTAGATAATGAAAATGAACTAGAAGATGATTTAGCTAATGAAAATGATCAAGAAAATACTAATGAGAATGCAGATGAAAATATAGATGAAAATACAAGTCAAAATATGACTGAATCTTCAGATCCTATCAATTCTAAGAGAAAATTTAAATCATATGTTTATGACTATTTTACATTAATTACCAATGAAATAAATATAAATGCAATCATTGTGGGTAAGTATAAAAAAATAACTTTAAATATAAAAAATAATTAATAATATTAATATTCTTTGTTAATTTTAGTAAAAGTTACAAAGTTCCTAAAGATAAATCTACTTCAACTTTGAGAAGTCATTTTAATCATAATCACAAAAACTTATGAAAAGTTATAACTTCTGAAGCAATGGATAAATATGTCATATCAGATAAAACCTTGGTATGTAGAATATTATATTATTTCTTTAAAATTTTTTTAAATATTTAAATTAATATTTAAATTAAGAATAGATTTTTTCACAAAAAACTTGGCAAAATGATTTTGTTCAATGGATTGTTTCAGATGACCAACCTTTTACTGTGGTTGAAGGTGATTTTTTCAAAAATATAATAAAAAGATTAAATTTTGAAGCCAAATTACCTACTGGTGATACTATATAAAATAGTATTTTTAAATCTTTTGAAAATGAACAAAAAAAATCAAAAATGAATTGCAAGAAACTTCTGGATGTATTTTTTTTATCCTTGATAGATGGACTTCCAAAAATCAAATATCATTTCTTGATATTAGTACACATTGAATTTCTAAAGATTGGAAATTAAAAAGTGTAATTCTTGATTTTAAAAAATTAAATGGTTCACATTCTGGAGAAAATATTGTTAATGTTTTTTTTAATACAATTAAGGAATACAATATTGCAACAAAGGTTAACTTATTTTATTTATTTTATTTATTTATCATTTTATTTATTTATTTATTTTAAATTTATTATTATTTAATTTATTACTTTTAGATATTAGCTGTTACTACTGATAATGCTAATAATATGGATACTATGTTTAATTATTTAGATATTTTTTGTTTAGATGAAGGCATTGACTTTAAATCTGAAAATCATTGTGTTTGGTGCTTGGCACATTTAATTAATCTTGCAGCACAAGATACTTTAAAATTTCTAAAAGGAATGGGTCCAGAAAATGAAGAAGATATATTATTAGATTCTATTAATGAAAATTCTTTGGGTATTATAGAAAAATTAAGAAAATTAGTAGTTAAAATACAAGCTTCTCTACAATGACGTGAAAAACTTAGTCAACAATGTAAAGTATTAAATATTAAAGATTTTCAATTAATTCCTGATGTGAAAACAAAGTGGAACTCAACATATAACATGATTGAAAAAGAGTATCAATTTTTCAAGAGGTAAAAATATTTTATCAAATTTTATAATTATTTATATTTTTATATAAATATTAGTTTATTTTTTATTAGCCTCTTCATAATATAGCATCTGCTGGTTGGAATCTATCATTATATTTGTTACAAGAAAATGAATGGAGTCAGTAGAAGAAATAAAAAAAATTATTAGAGGTATAATTTATTTAATATAATAATTTTGAATTATATTTTAAATTACAATATTATTTTATTT